GATTTCAACAGACAGACGGACGGACGGACAGACGGACGGACATGGCTAGATCGTCTTAGAATTTAATAAGGACCCGGAATATATATACTTTTATGGGTCTATGATCAATATTTCGATGTGTTACAAACGGAATGACAAAATCAATATACCCCCCATCTTTTTTGATGGTGGGTATAAAAATAATACCTGAACATTTTTTGAAAATAATAGTGCTAGGTAAATTTTCTAAAAGATGTTGAGTTTTCCCTAATTAATTTTTCACTTAAAAAACATGTTACATATCAATGGAAAGGTAATTTTGTCTATTTTTCAAAACTGTATATAATTTTTGAAAATTAAAAAATTCGCGGAATACTTTTTTTAAAAAAAATTAAAAAATGTTTTTTATTCAGTTTTTGCGAAGATACAAATTTTTCAAATTGCAATAAAAATTTTATTTATGAATATTTTTTGATGAAATTTTACAGTTAGGTAGATCCAAATCCAAAATTAAATAAAAATTTCGAATTTTCTTATTAGAAATCCCGGAATTCCCAAAAAAGTTTTAAAAAATTCCAAAAATGGGATTTTTGGGTTTTTTGCCTATTATATCCAAACCAGGGGCGGGGTTATCGAAATCCGTTACAAAATGATTAAGAACATATTGGGTCATATAGAACAGGTCACTATAATTTGATATCGACTATGCGATTTGAGAATTTTTGCTCAAAATTGAATTTTCCATAAAAAATAGGGTTTTTTCGGATGGACCTGGTCCCCACGGTATCAAAAATTTGTAGGTTTTGTTTCATTTATCGTATTTTATGTAAAGTCAGCTTTCCAAAAAGTATAAATTCTATATACATCTTCTTAGAAACTTTTTAGATAACTTAAAAGAAAAAGATATTTTTTTCCCAAAAAAATGGCAAAAAATCGCCTTTTTTAATTTTTTAAATTAAAATGCCTATAACTTTGGACTCAGTCATGATTTTTACATAATTCTTTCACTGCTTGATATATAAACTTGTTGTTAAGCGAATAAAAAAATGGCGAAAATCGGGAATATGTGGACCCGCTATTATCAAAAAACTAAAGTAAGGACGGTAAAAATTTTAAAATTTTAATTTTCAAATGCGAATATCTCCTAAATTATAAGAGATAATTTATGAGGAGATTCTATATACGAAATTTTTTTTAAATCGGAACTCAAATGAATAATTAGGATCGTTTTAAAAATTTAACATAGCCGAGGTGTCCTAATTTGAGGACCCCCCGCCGGACCCCTGGTTGGCCTATAAGGTCCAAATTCAAAACCTAAACTCGACCACACCTCCTCTTTGTGCATACCAAATTTCATTAAAATCGGATTAACCGTTTAGAAGTTACCGAATTATTTCCCTCTTTTTTTTCCTATACCACTGTGCGACATCACCATAGCGAGTGCTGGTTTGATCAACTACGCAACATGGCGAGCCGTAGTTTCTCTGCGATCAGACCACTTACCCATAATCCCACAAGGCGTGGAAGTGATTTCATATGCGGACGACTGTACAATCATGGCGACGGGCCACAACATTGATGAATTATGCGTTCTGGTGAATGGTTATCTCCACGAAATACATCGGTTCTTCACTGCGCGTAACCTGCAATTATCACCAGCGAAGTCGTCAACAACACTTTTTACCACCTGGACGAAGGAAGTAAACCTAAACCTTGGCATCGTGGTCGATGGAGTCCAAATTCCGACCGTGCACCACCTAAAAATATTGGGGGTCACATTTGATAGCCTCTTTACTTCGTCAGCTCACGCCACTGCAATCACGCACAAATTGCGAAGTAGGAACAAGGTCCTCAAAGCGCTAGCCGGCAGCACTTGGGGTATGGATAAAGAAACCTTGTTGGCTACATATAAAACGATTGGTCGGTGGTGGTTAAATATTCTACTCCAGTGTGGTCACCTTCGCTAAGTAATACCCAGTGGAGAAACATTCAAAGCTGCCAAAATGCCGCCCTAAGGACTGTAACGGGCTGCCTACAAATTACCTCGGAACATCACCTGCACGAGGAAACGAAGGTCCTTCCAGTCAAGGAACACAATGTCATGTTGACTAAACAGTTCCTCCTGGGATGTCATCGGAGAAGTCATCCCAATTTTAACATCATACAATTTGATTCTCCCCCGAGGCATGTCAGGAAGGATCTTCGTATATACGAGGAAAACATATGCAGATATGTGCGGGATCCACTGGATCGTCCTCGTATTCGGCAGCTTTGAACGACATTCGTAGAGACGCCATAAATTCCGCGGTCGCAGGATACCGCATGAATGTCGTACTTGGAGGTCGCCCACCGCCCATAGCAGACACGGAAGAAAACCTGCCGCGGAAAACAAGAGTAGTTCTGGCACAACTAAGATCGGGATGGAGCAACAGGCTCAATGCCTACTGGTCACGTATAGACCATGCCGTCCCCAACGAATGTCCTGCATGTGGTCAGGGTCCTCATGACACCCACCACATATTCAGCTGCTCAGCCAACCCTACATCACTCTGTCCAATGGATTTATGGACGCATCCAGTTGAAGTAGCCCAATTTTTAGGCCTGGACATTGATGTAGAACCCCCCAACTAGATTATTGTATAGTTTTAGCTGTTACAACAACAACAACCGTAGTGGCAGTTCGGAAGCCTGTATCACCTCAAGCTTTGCTGCTGGGTTAATGTCGCTACATTTGCCAATTGCCGATTTTAAGAATTCCAAGGAGTTCTTGTTACCGCAATTGACAACCTTAACCCAGTCTGCACCATTGAAGGATACATCCTCCGACCCACCCTCAAAGATGGCGATTTCATCAATCAGCCTACCTTCAATTGATTGCCAGAAATCGGTACTGATCCTCCCATCTGGATCATTCTGATCAATGACTGCCACTTGAAGGCATACATCCAAGCTGGTTGACTTCTTCATCTTCTTGCTGGATGAAGAGGGTTGATCATCCCCAGATCTGGCTCTCTTAATTGTCTCCTTGCGGGGACCTTTAGGAGCGCCAGCCGGGGATGGACCAGACCTCTTCGTTGTGCTGGGTGACTTTGACACCACTGGTTTGGAGGGTCGGTCACTACCGGAGCCTTTTCCCTTACTGACGTCCTTACGGAGGTCAGTAGGAGAGCGGGCCGGAAGTTTACCGGTCCTCTTTACCTTTCCTGGTGTCGTGTCCACCTTGCTAGCTTTTTTGGGTGGTAGACCTTTGACCTTAGCAGCTCGCTCCGAAGACTTGAGCGCATTGGTTTTCGGGATACCACCCTCTTTGCCTTTTGGCAGACTGCAGGTTGATGTTGCTATCGACCCATCACTCTTTTGAGTTTTAACCAGGTTGATGGCAGCATCCACCTGTTCTCTCCAGGGGGTGGACCAACCCAGAACGTCACCAACGGGGCCGTATATTCTCTCGAATTTAGCGACGCTTTGTCGGTGCCTTCTGAGCGGGAGCCTCTCCCTTGACGAGAACTTTGAAGAATCAGCCTTTGCCATCATAGACAGAAAGGCGAGAGACCTCAAAGTCCCGTTCCTAGCCTTCTCCTCCTTCGTTCGGCCTGTATCATTAATATCTCGTGGAGGGACACTTGGCTTCTCCTCCACGGCTACTTGCCGAACGACCTGACTTCTCCCAAATGTCCCCTTTGGATCCTCTTGGCCTCTTTAGCAGGGGATGTTATCTTAACAGTCTGGCAGCAAGCTCTTCCTCAGACAGAGATAAATTCCCCATCTTCTGTGTGGCACTAGTTTCACCAAAGGAGTCACTTGACACCTCCAGAAGACCCTCCACGTCTAAGTCGGTCAGTACCTGACCTTCATGCTCAACAATTCAGGCATGGAGGTCAGTAAGGGTAACGTCACCGTCCTCCAATGTACTGTCCAACTCCCTATCATCCTCGTTGACCGTGACGTCTTGACTGACTCTCCCTAACAGGTCGACCACCCCTTCCGTCGTGTCCCTACTCTCCTCCCTGTTTGTTTTTGGGTTTGGTTTCTCTATTTTGAATCCCACGAGTATGCACGTACAGACGGACAATCCACGCAGTGACGTCGTACGTGGACTAGGCAACTACGTTACAACAGCGCTTTACCATGACGCTGAGGGGAGCTGTTAGCAACTAGCCTCTTTATGCACTGGCTAGCCACCCAGGCCCTCGGCACTGCTACCACTCACCTTGACCTTAAAAGTGCATATATATGTCATGATAGAAGGAAGTAGGATTGACAGACACATACCGCTCTCACTATCTTGACAAGATGAGTAACCTTTAGTTATACACTTCTTTGAAACCATAACTTCCTGTGTCTGGATACCGAAGCATTAGTCACAGTAAGTTATAGTCACGATGTGTACTTAAGCCCTCGCATCACGACAAGATAGTTACCCTTGGCGAAGGAACTTCCTTTGTTAGTTTGTACACATTTTTTAACAGAATTTTCTACCAGTTCCAGTAGCCCAATTTTGTTGAAATTTGGCACACTTAAAGGCACCTGATGACAATGAAAAATCAAAATTAAATTCGAAAATTCAGAGTTGTTGAAAATTTTAACTGAATTTTTAAACCACTTCCTGTAGCTCAAATAATATTTGAATATTATGTTGAATTTGTTGAAGTTTATTAGAGTTTTTATTTAAGACTAATATACAAAGTTGAACAAAATACTGAAGTTACTAACGTAAAAAGAATAAACATGTAAAAAGAAGAACCAGAACGTACATGTTGCAAGGTAGCAAAAGGGTTGCCACGTTTCAACAAAATATGCTGAAATTTGGAATATATGTAGACATCTGATAACAACATAAAGTATTGTTCGAATTTTCGAACAATTTGAAGTTATATTCGAAAAATTATTTTTAAAAATGTATACAACCTGTGTTTTGTGAATTTTAAAAAATCAAATTTGTTTGAATTTTCTTCGTTTGTGCTCAAAATAAACAAAAACTGAAACTGTTAATAAATTATATAAATAAAATAAAAATTTATATTTTGGTTGATATTTATTATTTTTGTAATTAAACATTTATTTCTAAAGAAAAAATTACATTTCTTTTCATAAAAATTATTGAAGAAATTTTGAATTAAATTTAAAGCAGAACCAATTTAAGGGACAAAAATGAAAATAAAATGTCAAATTCAAAATTATTAATATGTCGAAAAACTTAAGATAGCATTTTGAATTTTGTTTATTTCAAAGTTGACTTAGAAGGATAACTAATTCAATTTAGCTCTGATCCATTGAAATTTCCGAATTGTTAGCAACGGTATCTTTTTGAACATATTCATATATTTTGCTTAACTCCGGCGAATCTTTAATTGATTTTAGGAAATCGGTCAATTGTTGGTTTTTATCTACAAAAAATATTTATATATATAATATTCATATTGCTCTCATAATATAAAATAAGTTATTTACCTGCTTTGGGAATCTTAGATAAAGCGCATACGGCTCTCAAGGCGGATCGCTTTAATTCATCTTGTTTCTCATACTCCTGTTTAACGGAGTTTGCTTTCACTTTGTGTGTACAAGTATCACGCAATTGTTGAACGAATTGATCTAGTCCTATTAAAAATAAAAAACAAAAAAGAACATTAAAGAAAAATATATTTTTTAAGCAAGGCTGGAAAAAAATAAATTATATTTAGAGTTAATTTACCTTACCTTACTCTGAAAATTCTTTGTTTAAAATGCACAACAGTAAAGAATTAATACGTATTCTCTAAAATTTTACAAAAAAAAAAAAAAAAAAAAAATGCGATTTTCCCGAAAGCCGCCGAGATCAATACAATATATCCTAAAAAATTTAAATTTTTTTGTCAGATTTCGAGTTCATGTGCTGTGAGACACGTTAATGGTCTGGGGAATTTGCAATAACATTTAAATTTTTCAACCAATATTTGTGTTTTATATCTTTCCGAAATGCTTATTATGTGTACATTGCGATTCCTTCTCAATAAAGTGCAAAGTTTAATACTAAATGGCAAAATTTGAGCAAAAACTGAAAAAATCGATATTTTCCCCTTGTAAATGCACTTGGAAACTTCAGAGCCGTTGTGGCACCAGTTAACGTTATCCTATCAGCCTAATATTTTTTTCCTTCATACAAGCTTGAAGCACTCGAATGTATATATTGTCATACTCGTAAGAATTTATCAGAGCTTGTTGAACAAATTTTGTAGGAGAATTATTGTACAAGCCGTGGCAAACAAAAATGAACAAGACTGATAACTTAAATTCAAAAAGTTGATTTATTTATTATTTAGTTGATTGATTAACACAGACAACATCAAAACCTCAGTTGTCAAATGCCATATTATTCCCATCCCTAGGGCAACCCTCCCAACAGCTATGACATACTACTGATTCCTATCAGACATTCCAAGTCATGCAGTTAAACTGCAATTTACTTAGGAACAAGATCTTGGAAATCACAAAATATATGCATGATAATAACATTCTCATAACTGCAATACAGGAGACGAAGCTCACCAGTGATTGTTCTCTTAGTTATCACCCAAGCATATCTTACTTCTTGCAAGGTGTTTAAGTTAAAATTGATTTAACTACCTTTTTGAAATACTATTTATAACAACGTTAGAATCCTATAAAGCTTCCCTTTTTTTTTTTGCAACTTTGTTGGAAGATTCTAACGAGTAACCGCTAACGGTGCTTAAATATTGTTTGCCACCAAATTTATGCTTGTTTCGTTTGACATTATAAATCACTTTTGATTTGTCTACGACACAAGCACTACGTGCAATTACATTTACAAAACTTGCACGAGGTAATATTTTGGTTTAAATAAAAAGAGATCTTCATCTCTAATAAATTTGAAATACACATTTGTTTTATTATACCCTACACCACTTTAGTGGGGAGGGTATATTGGATTTGTGCTGATGTTTGTAACATACAAAAATATTCGTCCTAGACCCACCTTAAAGTATACCAATCGGCTTAGAATCGTTTTCTGAGTCGATTAAGCTATGTCCGTCCGTCCGTCCGTCTGGCAGGCTGGCTGGCTGTCCATGTAAACCTTGTGCGCAAGGTACAGGTCGCAATTTTCAAGATAATTGGATGAAATTTGGCACGCACGTTTTATTTGACCCAAGGACGAAGCCTATTGAAAATGGTTGAAATCGGTCCATTATTTCACCTAGCCCCCATAGAACAGAACCCCCCGAAAAGGGCTTTTGAGCTCATAATTTTGTTAAATTTACAGATATATCGATAAAATGCGGCACAACTAAGTTTTATAGAAGTCTGGATGACCCTGCCAAATTTCATAAAGATCGGGCCCCATTTGACCCTAGCTCCCATACAAAGTCCCCTTCAGAAAATTACTTGAATGTCCCAAATTAACTTATAAACACAAATATCGCGATGAAATTTAGCACAATAAAATATTATGTAAATATAAATATATTCACAAAATTTTATCGGGCTTGGTCCATATTTGCCCCTAGCCCCCATATAAAGCCTCTTTCAGAAAATTAGATTTTCATCCATAAATTGCTTAAATGTATCGGAACAAGGGAATATTGAAGATAAATTCTTTATTATGAAAAATAAATCACATTTAATATTCATAACTGGTGTAGGGTATCATATGGTCGGCCACGCCCGACTATACTTTCTTACTTGTTTTTATATAAAATCTTGGGAATCTTGTTGGAGCTGAACATTTGGTCCTAGCGAACCGGATTTCTTAGATCATTTATCGGATTTTTGGGATCTTTATATCAGTACCGGATCTTCTTTGGCACCTTCAACTCCATTCCTATAATACAGTCCACCGGAGATATCTTTATCATTTATTTATTTCTACGAAATAAGGTACGTAAATATATTTCAATTGTGAGCAAGTGATAAAATTCGTTTGTTTTGTTTCGCGAAAATACACACACATTTCTTTTGTGAATTTTTGTTTTATTTTTTTTTTTAATTTGTGGATACATCTCACTAATTTGAACTCTAATTTATATTTAAAATTTTTTAATTTATTTTTGATCCTACGGACAACATATTAAATTAAAGTAAATTTTATTAAAATTTTATTACAAAAATCAGATTTAGATCTGTAAAATAAAACAATAAAATACATAAACGGTTGATTCTTCTTCTACCTTTATATTAGTCACCCTACGCTCGGCCAGTTTGACTATTATCACATTTGATTATATACATTTTGTAGTCAAGTAGTATTATTAATTTATTTATTTTAAACGACTTTTCAAATATTAAAAAATGTCGGTTTCGCCACTAAACTCGTTTATTAGAGCATCGGATGCCCTTATTGCATTCGGGGCTATGTTTAGTAATTTTGACGAAGAAATTCATACGGTTTATACTTTGGAGATTCAGAGTCAAGAGTTAAAAACACTTTGGGGTAAAGTTAAGACGACGTATAATGAATGTCTTAACTCTTTAGAGGCCGAAGAATTTGATGTGGCAGCCGCTAAATATAAAGCTACCTACACAGCGTATATCCAATGCGGAGGATCTATCCATGAAAAAATAGATGAATTCAAATCTGCTTTGAAAAGCAATGAATCTCCAACGGTAAATTCGAACTCCGGTAATACAGATCATAATCTAGCACTACCTCCTTGTGATATTGATTCATTCAGAGGTGATTATGTTTCTTGGCCCGCTTTTAGGGATTTATTTACCGCAATTTTTATTAATAGCTCGCGGCTTAGCAATATAGAACGGCTTTGCCATTTCATAAGAAAAACCGAGGGTGAAGCAAAAGAAATCGTTTCTAAATATCCACTTGTTAACGCAAGTTTTGAAGTAGCCTGGCGCGATTTAAAGGAAGCATATGAGAATCCTCGTATGTTGGTACATAACCAACTAAAAGTTATTTTTGGCCTTCCTTTCCTTGACAAGGAATCGATAACAGCACTCAAAACACTACAACGCGGAATTAATAGTTGCCTTTCGGCTCTTTCTATTTATAAAGTGCCTACGGATAATTGGGATCCAATTATAATTTTTATGTGTATTCAACGTCTGCCTAGATCTACAGTTATTTTGTGGGAACAGGGTGTTAAAAACAAAACTGTTTTGTCTACATGGAAAGATTTCGATAACTTTCTGACAGAAAGAATTCAGACATTGCAATGTCTTCAAGATCTTAAAGGTACGAACTCGACTGACGTCGACTCTTCAGTGCATTCAAATAGTTCTACTATTACTAAACCTTCATGTATCTTATGCCCTAATCAGTCACACTATTTGCGAAATTGTCGTCGATTTAAAAATCTTTCAGTATCTGACAGAATTTCTACTGTGAATGATTATAACTGCTGTACTAATTGCCTTTCGAGGACACATAAAGTCAGAAGTTGTACAATCAACAATAACTGTTTTATTTGCAATAATCGACATCATTCTATGCTTCATCTGCAGCATACAGATAATTCTATAGTTGAAAGACCTACTGTTTCTACTGAACAGAATTCCAGTGAGGTTCTACGACCCACTAACTCTCACACTCGACAATCGCATACGTCCAATAATGTTACTTCTAATCCACAAGTATTTCATACTAGACAGAATCAGTCCGTTTTGTTAGGGACTGCAATGGTAAACATAATTCATAACAGCCATAAGTATCAGGTCCGCGCTTTAATAGATTCGGGTTCAGAATGTTCTTTCATTTCTGAACGTTTACGAAAAAGATTAAAACTTCCCACTCATTCTTCGAATTCTAACGTTTCTGGCGTTAATAATGTGGTTTTTGGAGTTTCAAAGTTTTGTCCTTTGGAAATTAGTTCAGATTTAGATTCTTCAATAAAACTATCAACTAACGCATTTGTTTTACCAGAAATAACAGGAAATTTGCCTTCGACTTCTGTAAATGTCGATATTGGAAAATTATTGCCAAATCTTTGTTTGGCTGATTCGAATCTTTTTACCAGTAGGCCTGTAGATATTCTTATCGGAGCAGATTTATATCCGCGCATTATTTTACCGGAAATACAACAAAACGTATTAGGGTCATTATTGGCACAGAAAACTATATTTGGTTGGATACTGACAGGTCCAGCTAATCCTAGGGATTTTGAAACATATATCGACAATTTAACGTATTCTACGTGGTCTAACGCTTGTTAACCTTTAATTTATTATCACTTTAAAATGCTCACAGAAATATATTTATGTTTCTACTACCTTATTTATGTTTATTATTATACCTTATTAATTATTATCTTTATATATATTATAATACTTATATTAAATAATAATCCACCTGCAGGACTTCGGTGCTGTGGGAAAAGTCGAGAGACTTTCCAAAAATCCACCTGCGGGACTTCGGTTCTGTGGGGAAAGTCGAGAGACTTCTTAAAAATCCACCTGCGGGACTTAGTTTCCGTGGGGAAAGTCGAGAGACTTCTTAAAAATCTACATCGTTTTAAAATCGTTTGCAATTCCTAAGGTATTGCAAGGTGGCCGGCAATGTTTAAGTTAAAATTGATTTAACTACCTTTTTGAAATACTATTTATAACAACGTTAGAATCCTATAAAGCTTCCCTTTTTTTTGCAACTTTGTTGGAAGATTCTAACGAGTAACCGCTAACGGTGCTTAAATATTGTTTGCCACCAAATTTATGCTTGTTTCGTTTGACATTATAAATCACTTTTGATTTGTCTACGACACAAGCACTACGTGCAATTACATTTACAAAACCATCTACTTCTACGAGGTAATATTTTGGTTTAAATAAAAAGAGATCTTCATCTCTAATAAATTTGAAATACACATTTGTTTTATTTTTATATAAAATCTTGGGAATCTTGTTGGAGCTGAACACAAGGTGATAACAAAATATTACTTGGCGATTTCAATGATCATCATGAGAGCTGGTATTCCCAATTATCAAACGATCCCCGCGGAATTAGTATTGGTGACCAGATAGATGACTCAGACTTCGCTGCAATAAATGAGGACTTCTCTTCAAGAATTACTGCAAGATGCTCAAGCTATCCAGACATATCCATTGTCTGTTCGTCTCAACTTGCCCAAGCCATCTGGAAAACCCAGACAGTATTAGACTCAGACTCAGGTAAATGTAGAGAAGCCTATCGACTTTGTGAAGCCTGATAACCGCACGTTTGTCAACTACAACAAATAAAACTGGCATTTAAACTTTATTGACGATTCCCTACGTCAGTTGCCGCCCCCACATGTGCCAGAAAGGGAGAGATAGTTTTCAGAGAAACCATTCTTAAGGCAGCAAAGCGTTTTATCCCTGCACGAAGAATCTCTAATACAAGACCAAATTTTTCACTTCAAGCAGCACGTTTAGCAGAACAACTCTGCTAAACTTATCCAAAACTTTTATACGGTCGATCATTCCATGCTGATAAATGACATCGCGAACTCAACTCTACCCAACGATTTCAAACTCTCGATTTCCAATTATCTCTGTGGCAGACAAGCGAGTATTGCAGACATCTCAAAATAATGCACTCCGAATCGCAACCGGATGTGTCAAACATGGATCACCTACACGTGAATACAAAATTTTGACGGAAGATCCCCCTCGACACATTCTGTCCGACATCCACGACGTCATCCCATCTGACGTCGACAGATTGTCGATAATAAACGCAGGGATCGAGTTAAGGAAACTTGAAGACAAGAGTCTCCAAATCGGTCACCAGTTTTGTCAATTATTTTGTTATCTTTAACATTGTCAACGAAGAATCTACAGTTTTATATTTTCCATTAAAGAAAAAAATGTTAACAAAGGTGAGTGATGTTGCGTTGGAGGCTTAATAGTTTTTAACAATCGAGTATTTTTTCAATTGTGCTATAATAGTTATTCACAATATTAATTATTCAAAATTGCAAAAGTACATAAAATGTACTTGTGAGTCTCTGTTTCCAATGTCTAATAAGGTCCAAAATAGTACGTAGTCAATACTACTACCGTCAGTAATAGATTTAAAATATTTATAATAAGTTACTAGTATTGGTGACTGTGTCAATAGAAAGTCAAAACTGTTTCACTATTGATATTTCCTGCTTGGTTACGCCTTATAAATACATACATATTGTATATTTACTTACGAAGTAGAACTGCATCGGGACAAATTACGGCTAAACGAGCGGTCATTAAGTAAGTCAACATTTTAATGTCATAATGATCACAAAGTCCAGCTTGTACGTGATCTAAGAATTGCATTACATCAACTCGTTCTAATCCTTGTTCGAGCAATGTGTACATGCATTCGAATGCAGCCTTACGAATATCTAATCCATCATCAACTGTATGTTTAAAAGGACCCATTTCGACTTCTCGAATAAGTTCACTCTGTAAGTAAAAGTTAATTTAAAAATTGAATATTAGGAATCTTCTTGGAAAATTGTTAGAATTACCTTCACTTTTGTTTCAGAATATAACCATGGTAGTAATGTTGGAAGTAGATCTCGCACAAGACTGGGTTTATTGTGAACTGCAGAATTAAATGCAACCAATGCAACTCGTCTTACGGAAGGTTCGGGATCTCGAAGCAAGAATAGAAACTTTCCAATGTTTTGTTTTAAGAGTACATCTATGGTTTGTGGTTGGTCAGATATGGTGAACTTAATTGCTGAAACAACTACAGTGCGCATAAGAGGACTTTCGGATTGTAGAGCATCTTGCAGTCGTGGTAAAAGTTCTTCTGGACTCACAAGAACTAATTTTCCCAAACATTCTGCAACAACATTACGGGAGCCTTCTTCGGGACATTCGCAATGTTTAAACAATTGCTCCCATATTGATGGGACTGATGGCAATAACTGAGAAAGTCCATTTTGTGTAACCGAAAGTGAAGAAATTACTTCTTTTAACGAATGCAGAAGCAAATATTGTCGGCGTGGTTGAGCTTCAATTTCATTTAATATGAGCGGCAAAAATGTTTGCAAACTTCCTACTGCTACCGCTCCTAAAGCGTGGCTAGCTGCTGCTTTAACATCTTCTGATGCAGCACTAAAACATTCTATAATGGTTTGTGGTAGTGCAGAAATTGAGCTTAAATCAAAATGACGCCCAATTTCTCCTATTGCTAACAAGCAAAATACGAGTTGTGTATCGCCGATTGATGTCCTCTTCTGGAGGTCTCCTAAAAGTTGTGTCGCTAATGGTATTGCTTCATTAGGACACTGCTGAGTTAAAGCAGCGACACATTTTGCCAAAGAATGATAGGCCTGCTTGTGGAGCTGATCATGGCCGCTATTGGGAAAAACTCCTGTAGAAATGGGTTCAGCTATTACAGGCTCCATAAGTTTTTTCAACAATGAATGATAGTCAAGGCCGGTAAGATTAGTTCGAACAAGAGCTTGGAAAAGATCATGTGTACATGTTAAAGCTGAGCCCTGCAAAAAAGGTAACAAATGTTATATTTTAATGTTTTCTATATTTACATCAGGCGTATCCTTAGAATAAAATTCTACAGACAGTCCGACCACTTTATTTTTTAACCCTTTCGATTTAGTTATAACTCGAAGCATATATTCTACTCTTAAATGGGGTTTATACGACATATAATAGTCAGAAAGAAATATGGCTTCACTTGGGTCCAAAGTTGATCCTTTTGTATGAATAACTGTAAGAAAAATATTTTGTTTTTCTTAATCTTTTTATACAAAATATACAAAATTATTTCCATTGCGATGTAAAAAAATTAAAATGGTAAGCTATGGCAGTATTTATTTAGCTTCATTTATAATTGCCGTAGAAAATTAGTCCTTTTACACATTTTAATACATTTGGAGCGGGTTTTTGAGATGGCAATCAAATGCCAATTAATAATCAGATTAGTTACAGCTTAATTACAATTGGAACCACAACCGCTGTCGACAATGAGTTTTCATACATTTTGTATGGAGAGCAAAATATCGTCATGTGTTTGGCGATATTGTGGTTGAGATAGATTCTATTTTATTTTTATTGCGCTCTCTGGCGATCCTCTCATTTTTATCTTATTTTCATGACAACGTCACTGTTTGTTATCAAAACAATGCATGTTTTATAAAAACACATCGTTCAATGTCAATTCAAAATTTCCGAAAAGAAACCGTGCCCCGCGTATCCGGTAAGGGCCTAACAATATCCGGAGACCCTACCAAACGGCGAAGGCGACAGGCTGTGGTGAGTCGAGTGCTACTGCCACCGAGGTTAATCAGGCGGAGACAGCGGGCCAGGCTAGTCTGAATGCTACCGGCGCAAAACCCAAAAAGGAAACGTCTGCAGATTTAGGGAAGCCTGCTCCAAAGCTGGATGCAGCAAAATAAGCAGCGAGGTACCTCTGGATGTCACCCCAAGTACCTCAAAAGCAGCTCAGGTCCGTATTGGAAAAATGCCAATAAAACCTCCTGATTTATAAAAATTGTATTAATTTTTTGCATCAGCTGTTTACACTTTTGCATTTCGTGCATATTAGATTTTCTAGATATCCCTTCATGTTATGTTGTTTTTGGGACTATAAACTAATTTCAATGAACTAGTAATGAAAATGGGAGATACAGTTTTTAAGATATCCTTGACGCAAAAATATTTTTTGTTATCATTATCCTTATTTTAAAACCATAATATTTAAAATAACATATTGTCAAACTACAACACATAGGAATTAATTACAGTGTAAAATGATTAAAATAGGATAAATATGTTAGAAAATATACTATATCAAATTTAACCCTTTTTAGAAAAACTCTTAACAAATATTAACTATGAACATTCAAACATTTTTCTTAAACTACTCCGGGAAAATTTTCTTGAAAATAGCTTTGCTTAAAATGCAAATAAATTAACAATTCGAGCTAACTTGTTAAAACCCTTTTGGGAATTTGATCTATTGATTGTATACTTTCATTTCTAGTTGGTCTCATACGGGAAAGATTCGATGACCGAAATTTGTTACATAGTGTAATTTGTTCCAGTACCTATATTACTTATATATGTATTAGGGTGATCGATTATTCGACATTTTCCAAAAACCGGTTTTCGAATAGTTCGAATAGATGACATTTAAAAAAAACCGGTTGATATTTTTCAAATTCAGAAAAACCCGGTTAACCGGCTTTTCATTATAAATAAAAAAATATATTTTAATTTGAAAAACTTAATGTGATTAATGTGAAATGATTTTTAACAGTTTAAAAGATTATCCCCCTTATTCACTGTTTATGCGCACAGTGTATATGGCCAGTTACTGTTCACTGGCCATTCTATGTTTTTTAATTCTTTGGCGCTTTTTACCCTTTTTCTCTCTTACAAAAAGTTGTAATAGTCACTTACTTTTGTAACCCCGAAGAGTACGGTACGTACAAAACCCCAATTTATAACCCGAGAAAAACCAATAATAAAACCCCATTTTTATATTTATTTAAAGAAAAACTAATTTTGTTTTTATTTTTCTTACCCCATATTTTCGAGGAAATATTTCAAGGAAACATTTTGGTCCTTCGAGCCGGATAAAAACCCCCGAGACCTTGAAATATTTCAGAAAATATTTTTATTTTCAGAAACCCCCGGAATTATTTTCACCCTAACCCTAAAATTCCTCTTGGAAATTATTTAATTTATCCCCACTTAACCCCTGCACCCAAAGGAAATAAGGTACGTTTTTGTGCATTTAATAAAGTGAAAGAAAAAAGTGACAATAAAAAGTGTTTCTTATAAAACAAAAAGAAGAAAAAATAACCAACAAGTGATCAAAAAGTCCGTGTTGAAAAATTGCAATTTGCCGTCGGCAAAACGTATTTTCATTTTTTTCTTATTAAAGTCTGTGCATTTTTCCTCTCACTTTCTTTATACCCCTTGTTCTCATTTAATTTATTGATTTGCGTGTGTGCGTGTTACTTTAAAATAAAAGAAATTAAAAACTCTTATATTTAGTGCATTTTTTATTTATTATACTCAGTGCTTTTTACTTATTTTACCCGCGTTTCTTTTATTTAAAGTGATTTTTTATTTACTTGAAAGTGTTTTTGTTTTTTATTAATCCCAGCTTCTTTATTCTCTGTTAACTCCGCTGTTAACAAAAAGCTTTTATATTGATACGTTTTTTACCCAACTGTGCTAATATTAGCGAATATAGCACAAAAGAGAATAAAGAAGGAAAAAATTTACTCGTTAGTTCGATTGTAAACAAAAACAGACGGACACGCGAATAAAGTAAATTAATTGTGAATATTTATTGTGATATTTTTATTAATATTAAAAATAAATAAATTTATATAATAAAAATAAAAATTATATATTTTTATTATACCCATATACCCGTGAGAAGTGAGAGTGTTAGTAATTATAATAATACAAAAAAAAAAGCTACAGTGTTGTTGGTTGTTTTTTTTTATTTTTCTTTTGCTTTTTATTGTCACACACATTAGTGCTGCAATATTTTGATTGTACGAATAAACCGGTTACTGTGTATTTTAAAGTGATAAAGTACATTTTTACTCAATTTTTATATTTTAACCCGTGAGAATAGATAAATCGTATAATTTAAATACAAATTTAAATCATTAATAAAATTTTATTAAAGAATAATTATTTTTAAGTGAAAAATAATTATTAATTTTATTCGAAGGGAGTAACCGTTTATTCGTTTGCAGTATTGGTGTGTTTTTTTATACATTTTTATACTTTTTTTAATATTGAAAGTGCTTTTACACTATAAAAAATTGTTGTTCGAACTATTTAAACCCATTTTTTGTAAAATTTTTACCCTTAAAAACGAACAACGTGTAAAATCACTTTAATATTTAATATTTTTATACTTTTAACCCGTTTTTTTCGTGGAATTTACGTCGTAAATTCCAATTTATCCAAATATTTATTGAAATTTACCCCTATTTTGAAAAGTTTTTGATTTTTTTTGAAAATTTTACTCGTTTTTTGTCGATTTCGATTTTATTCTGATCCTTAAATCCTTGATACGTGATAAATTTCAATCCTTTAAATTAATTTTGAAGATTAGATTGTTTATTTTTTAATTTTTTTTTTGAGCAAGTTTACTCTATTTATTGAATATTTTTCATTTTCCTCTAATTTTTCTTGCTTTTTGTCAAAATTACCCGGTATTTATTAAGATCTAAAATGGACATGTCCACATTAATTCGTAATGCAGATCGTTTAGCCGAATTCGATGCTTATATTTCAATAATTCCTGTTGGTGAACATCGAATTGGTTCGTTAAGTAGCCATGAAAAGGAATTAACCCGTTTATGGGAAGCTGTTCGTTCAGCATACGATACTTTGTTGATCGAAGCTGAACAATTGAAAACCCCACAAATCGTTGAAGTGAAGTCCAGGTATATGGCTTCTTATAGTACCTACACTCGTGGTATCTCCTTGATCACGACCCATTTGGACAATTTAAAATCCGCTGCTCAGGCAGAAAAGTCCAATGATCATGGAGCAAGTTCAATACCACTCGTTCATTTACCCCCTTGTGACACCCCAATTTTCTATGGTGACTATAAGAACTGGCCTTCATTCCGAGACATGTTCTCTGCGTTGTATGGCAATAACCCCCGTTTGACCCCAGTACAGAAATTGTACTATTTATTGCAGAAAACTGCAAAAGATGCTCATGATGTCATACAAACTGTTCCATTGACTAACGATGGCTATGCAGTGGCATGGAAAAAGTTAGTTGACACATATGAGAACAAAGACGCCCTCATAAATGAACAGCTTCGTACTCTTTTGAGTATTAAACCCCTTACCCAAGAAACAGGCCCGAATATTAAAAATCTGCAACGGACGCTTAATGATTGTATTACGAATCTTTCATTATTAGAAGTTACCCCGGAAATATTTTATCACGTCAAGTTAGTGTATATTTGTGCTACAAAGCTACCCGAAAATACTTTAAGTCTCTGGGAACAGTCCAAGAAACTTTGTCCAAAATCTCCAAAGTGGGAAGATATGGACGCTTTTTTGACAGCTCATTTCAAAACTCTTGAGTCTATTTCTGATATAAGACAGTCCAACCCAGTTCAAAACAAACCCCAGAATACTGTGTCGAAAAAGAACTCGAGTTTTAACCCCCCAAAGAAATCATTTAATGACTCTAGAAGAGTTCAAAGTTTTGCGACAAACACTACCCCGAGTCCCACAGTTTGTCGTTGTTTCCTTTGTCAAGGACCACACCCCCTAAGACTTTGTCCTAACTTCTTGAGTCAGAGTGTAGATGATAGGCTGTCAACTGTCAAGAGACTTAGGTGTTGTTCAAATTGTTTGGCGACTTCTCACGATTTTAAGAATTGTAGAAGTACTCATGTTTGTTCGTTGTGTAGACAGAAGCATCACTCTTTGCTTCATAGAGATCCTAGGTCGCAAGGTCAAGGTTCGCAAATTTCACCCCAGCTCCCTATAGCTTCTGGTACAAATGTACCAATTCAACCCCCGCATATTCAAACCTTATCTAACCAAACCCAGCACAATATAAACCCAGTTCCAGCAAGCAATCAAAATCAACACCCTCCTAATTTTCCCCCATCAACTTCTGCAGCGACTCAAAACGTTCATACGTATGCTGCACATCTGAGCCCTAACCCCCATTCCACAGTCCTTTTGGGCTCGGCTATTTGTATAGTCCATTTTGACCATCTCAGATGTACAGCAAGAGCGCTAGTTGACCCTGGTTCGCAAGGTACCTTTATCTCTAGGAGATTACAAAGGAAGCTTGCAATACCAACATTTTCGGTGCCATCGATAAATGTTACTGGTATGATGGATTGCTTGGCTGGAAATTCCTCGACTATGTGCGTTCTTACTATTGGTTCTCCAATAGACCCGAGTTTCAAATTGAAAATTTGTGCATATGTAGTCGAGAAGATTACCGGTCGGTTGCCCTCTTGTTCTCTTACAGATATTGTAAGCTCTAGTTTTCCCGATATTACCATGACCGACGTCATGTGTACCCGTATGGATATTCTATTAGGAGGAAATGTTTATCCAAAAATTTTAACTTCGGATGTTAAAAAGCATCCGAATGGCAACCTGATCGCCCAGAGAACAGTTTTTGGTTGGATAGTAACTGGTGAAGTTTTTCAATCTGAACCCCCTTATACTATTGCATCGTTTTGCAATCAAGTGGAGCTGAACGCTCAACTCGCTCGGTTTTGGGAACTTGAAGAAGTTCCACAAGCGACACGGTTGTCGGAAAATGAGGAATATTGTGAAGAACTTTACCGGACTACTACCTATAGGAAGTGCTCTGTCCCAGTTTAGGCGAAATGAAACTCGACTTTTGAAAAACCCCGATCTAAAATCACAGTATGATACTGTAATTAGAGAGTATTTCGAAATGGGACATATCAGAGCAGTTAACCCCCCGAGTTCAGATGCGACTAATTATTATTTACCGCATCATGCAGTATTTAAACCCGATAGTGTGACCACTAAACTTCGTGTGGTATTTAATGCCTCGAACCCATCCTCCAATGGCGTAAGCCTTAATAATGTCTTGTACCCCGGTCCTGTTTTACAGGCAGACCTAACGGTCTTAATCCTACAATGGCGACTCTTTCGTTACGTTTTTAACGCTGACATTGAGAAAATGTATCGCCAAATTTTAATTCATCCCGAACAGACACAATTTCAACGGGTCTTGTACCGCTGTAGTCCCGAAGCTGATATAAAGGACTATGAGCTAAATACTGTCACATTCGGAGTGAATTGTGCGCCGTATTTAGCGATTCGAACTCTTTTACAATTGGCCAACGATTGTAAACCCCTAAGTCCGTTAGCATCTGAAATTTTGAAAACCCAAATGTATGTCGATGACGTACTTGCTGGCTCTCATGAGCTAGAAGACGCTTTTAGGAGACGTATTGAACTTACCCATGTTCTTGAATCGGCTGGTTTCGTTTTGAGAAAATGGACTGCCAATCACATACGTCTCTTAGAAGATTTACCCCGTGAGAATCTGCTTGATGCAGACTTCTTAAAATTTTCAGATGCTAGTACAACAAAAACCCTAGGCTTGCGATGGAATGCAGAAACTGACAGTTTCTACTTCCGACTCATATCGCAGCCACGCCGGGATATTGTGACTAAACGTGCTGTCTTGTCAGAAATAGCTAAGCTATTTGACCCCGTCGGTTGGCTATCCCCAAAAATCATTGTTGCTAAAATTATAATGCAACAAATATGGAAAGATAAGACAGATTGGGATGAATGTTTAAAACCCTTAACCCTTGTGCAATGGCACTCATTTTTAAATGATTACCCCAATATTGAGAAAATTAACATTCCAAGATGGGTTAATTTTCACCCGAGTTATGATATTGAACTTCATGCATTTTCTGATGCGTCAGAAAAGGCTTATGGCGCTGCTCTTTACGTTCGAAGTATTTCTTCGAATGAAATCTCTTCACATTTACTCTCTGCAAAGACGAAGGTAGCTCCTGTTAAGTCTGAAACATTACCCCGTTTAGAACTTTGTGGAGCGGCTTTGATGGCGAATATGGTAGAATCCTTGTGTAGTCAATTAAATCTAGACAAGAGAAAGATTTATCTGTGGACTGATTCTACTATAGTTTTATCTTGGCTCAAAAAACCCCCGTGCCATTGGCCAACCTTTGTCAAAAACAGAGTTGCCTTAATCGTAAAGAAAGTTGGTAACGAGAATTGGTTTCATGTGGATTCCAAAGATAACCCTGCAGATCTCGCAAGTCGTGGAAGTCTTGCTCGAGATTTAGTTGATAACCCCCTATGGTGGCATGGTCCCTCGTGGTTAAGACAGCCGCGAGAGTACTGGCCACAAAATATCGTTACCGAACATCAGCATTTAGAAGTTCAATCTTTTTCTGTTCAGACAGAACCAACATTTGACATACTGGAACGTTTCTCAGATTTACCCCGTGCAATGCGAATTATTTCGTATTGGTTCAGGTGTTTACAATATTTAAAAACCAGAAAATGCTTGTACAACACCTTAGATTTAACCCAGTCAGAAATGAAATTTACTCGAGATCGATTGGTTCTAGTATGTCAAAAGAATTATATACCTGAATATTCTCTACTCTCGAAAGGTAAACCCATTTCGTCTAAGAGTAATTTACTCACTTTGAACCCGTTTATTGATTCAAATGGTTTTGTCCGAATCAATGGTCGATTAACTCGATCCCCTGGCTTAACGTACGATGAGCGTTACCCTAAAATTCTGCCTTATGCAGCCCGATTTACCCGTTTGTTTGTTGAACATGTTCACAAATGTTCTGCCCATGGTGGCCATTCATTAATGCTCAGATTAGTAAGAAATGAGTTTTGGGTCCCCAAGTTAAAAAATCTAATTCGTACAGTCATTTTCAATTGCAAGGAATGTACTATATATCGAAAGAAAACCGGTCAGCAGATTATGGCTGCTTTACCCCCTGAACGTGCTTCTCTTACGAGACCGTTTACCCATACCGGTTTAGATTTCGCAGGTCCGTTCGACATAAAATCCTACATTGGTAGAGGTTGCCGAATAACGAAAGGTTATGTCCTCGTTTTTGTTTGTTTCGCCACAAAAGCGATTCATTTAGAGGCAACCGGTGATATGTCGACCGAAACATTTCTTGGTGCTTTTGCTCGTTTTTTCTCCCGTCGAGGTTGTCCTGCCCACATATACTCAGACAACGGAACTGCATTTGTCGGTGCTGCTAATTTACTCGAAGTAGACCGAAAGCAGTTTTTACCCCAATTAAGAGAAAAAGTACTTGTACGAAATAGTTTTCAGCCAATTGAATGGCATTTTATACCCCCTGGTGCTCCTCATATGGGCGGCTTATGGGAAGCCGGCGTAAAGAGTGTAAAAACTCATTTTCGCAAAATTGCTGGAATGCAGAAATTTACCTTTGAGGAGTTTTCGACAATGTTAACCCGAATAGAAGCTTGCCTAAACTCAAGACCCTTAACTGCAATGAGCGATGATCCTTTCGATTTAGTCCCTTTAACCCCAGGTCATTTTCTGATAGGAGCACCTCTTTTGGCACCCCCTGAACCCGATCATTCCGATCTTTCATTGAATATTGCTAATAGATGGCAAAAACTCAAAGTGCTCCATCATCAGTTTGCTCAAAGATGGAAAGAGGAATACCTCAAAGAACTCCATCGGCGAATTAAATGGAAATATCCGCAAAGGGACTACAAAGTCGGAGATTTAGTTGTGATCCGTCAGGATAATTTACCCCCGAATGAATGGCGTTTAGGTAGGATAGAGAAGACCCATGTAGGCCATGACAGCAAGGTCCGCACAGCGGACGTGAGAACAGCTTCGGGCATTTTTACCCGCCCAATAGTGAAGCTTGTTCTCTTGCCAAAGTCAGAAACTGACTAATTTGTATTTTTTTTCTTCTCTCTATTTACTTTACCCATAGCAAGATGTCGAATGTGAATCGCCGCCTGGAAATCCACCGCAAACCCGTTGAAGCCCCCGGTTCGTCTAAGGACATAAAAACAACCCGTGATGAGATCCTTCGGGACTGCCGTATATGCAAAAAGGAGCATGCCTTGAGGAAGTGCCCGAAATTTAGGAAGATGTCGGTGGGGGAGCGGTGGGAAACGGTGAAAAAGTACCGATATTGTTTCAACTGCCTGGCTCATTCCCACATGAAGGATAAATGCACCAGCAGAGAGCGGTGCATCGAGTGCATGTCAGAGCACCATACCCTCCTTCACCGGCATCAAAGGTCGAAAAAAGGGGCCAAACCCGAGGCCCATCAACAACCAACCCAAGGCAGCGGTAGTCCCAAGGATCGGAAGTCCTCAAAAAAAAGGAGGAACAAAAGCCGTGGTACGAAAAACCAGGTCGGCACACCCCAACAACAACATCATTGCTGCGCACAGCATCCACAACAGCAACAGTACCAACAACAACCCCTACAATATCAACAACAACCCCAACAATATCAACAACAACCCCAACAATATCAGCAGCAACACCAACAAACCCCGGCAACCATTGTTATCAATGTAATGTCAGGGCGCATTGTTTAATATACCCCTTTTTATTATTTTTGTTATAATGAATTTAAAAAAATGAATTGTTGTTTTGAAAAAAAAAAAAAAAAAAAGTTTACCATTTTTTTGTTTATATACATATATTTTATTTAACTCTGTTTTCAGCTTATCTTACCCCGCAGTATCCTAAGCCTTCCTTGTTGCAGTATTGCAAGGGGGGCGGGATGTTTATGCGCACAGTGTATATGGCCAGTTACTGTTCACTGGCCATTCTATGTTTTTTAATTCTTTGGCGCTTTTTACCCTTTTTCTCTCTTACAAAAAGTTGTAATACTCACTTACTTTTGTAACCCCGAAGAGTACGGTACGTACAAAACCCCAATTTATAACCCGAGAAAAACCAATAATAAAACCCCATTTTTATATTTATTTAAAGAAAAACTAATTTTGTTTTTATTTTTCTTACCCCATATTTTCGAGGAAATATTTCAAGGAAACATTTTGGTCCTTCGAACCGGATAAAAACCCCCGAGACCTTGAAATATTTCAGAAAATATTTTTATTTTCAGAAACCCCCGGAATTATTTTCACCCTAACCCTAAAATTCCTCTTGGAAATTATTTAATTTATCCCCACTTAACCCCTGCACCCAAAGGAAATAAGGTACGTTTTTGTGCATTTAATAAAGTGAAAGAAAAAAGTGACAATAAAAAGTGTTTCTTATAAAACAAAAAGAAGAAAAAATAACCAACAAGTGATCAAAAAGTCCGTGTTGAAAAATTGCAATTTGCCGTCGGCAAAACGTATTTTCATTTTTTTCTTATTAAAGTCTGTGCATTTTTCCTCTCACTTTCTTTATACCCCTTGTTCTCATTTAATTTATTGATTTGCGTGTGTGCGTGTTACTTTAAAATAAAAGAAATTAAAAACTCTTATATTTAGTGCATTTTTTATTTATTATACTCAGTGCTTTTTACTTATTTTACCCGCGTTTCTTTTATTTAAAGTGATTTTTTATTTACTTGAAAGTGTTTTTGTTTTTTATTAATCCCAGCTTCTTTATTCTCTGTTAACTCCGCTGTTAACAAAAAGCTTTTATATTGATACGTTTTTTACCCAACTGTGCTAATATTAGCGAATATAGCACAAAAGAGAATAAAGAAGGAAAAAATTTACTCGTTAGTTCGATTGTAAACAAAAACAGACGGACACGCGAATAAAGTAAATTAATTGTGAATATTTATTGTGATATTTTTATTAATATTAAAAATAAATAAATTTATATAATAAAAATAAAAATTATATATTTTTATTATACCCATATACCCGTGAGAAGTGAGAGTGTTAGTAATTATAATAATACAAAAAAAAAAGCTACAGTGTTGTTGGTTGTTTTTTTTTTATTTTTCTTTTGCTTTTTATTGTCACACACATTAGTGCTGCAATATTTTGATTGTACGAATAAACCGGTTACTGTGTATTTTAAAGTGATAAAGTACATTTTTACTCAATTTTTATATTTTAACCCGTGAGAATAGATAAATCGTATAATTTAAATACAAATTTAAATCATTAATAAAATTTTATTAAAGAATAATTATTTTTAAGTGAAAAATAATTATTAATTTTATTCGAAGGGAGTAACCGTTTATTCGTTTGCAGTATTGGTGTGTTTTTTTATACATTTTTATACTTTTTTTAATATTGAAAGTGCTTTTACACTATAAAAAATTGTTGTTCGAACTATTTAAACCCATTTTTTGTAAAATTTTTACCCTTAAAAACGAACAACGTGTAAAATCACTTTAATATTTAATATTTTTATACTTTTAACCCGTTTTTTTTCGTGGAATTTACGTCGTAAATTCCAATTTATCCAAATATTTATTGAAATTTACCCCTATTTTGAAAAGTTTTTGATTTTTTTTGAAAATTTTACTCGTTTTTTGTCGATTTCGATTTTATTCTGATCCTTAAATCCTTGATACGTGATAAATTTCAATCCTTTAAATTAATTTTGAAGATTAGATTGTTTATTTTTTAATTTTTTTTTTGAGCAAGTTTACTCTATTTATTGAATATTTTTCATTTTCCTCTAATTTTTCTTGCTTTTTGTCAAAATTACCCGGTATTTATTAAGATCTAAAATGGACATGTCCACATTAATTCGTAATGCAGATCGTTTAGCCGAATTCGAGGCTTATATTTCAATAATTCCTGTTGGTGAACATCGAATTGGTTCGTTAAGTAGCCATGAAAAGGAATTAACCCGTTTATGGGAAGCTGTTCGTTCAGCATACGATACTTTGTTGATCGAAGCTGAACAATTGAAAACCCCACAAATCGTTGAAGTGAAGTCCAGGTATATGGCTTCTTATAGTACCTACACTCGTGGTATCTCCTTGATCACGACCCATTTGGACAATTTAAAATCCGCTGCTCAGGCAGAAAAGTCCAATGATCATGGAGCAAGTTCAATACCACTCGTTCATTTACCCCCTTGTGACACCCCAATTTTCTATGGTGACTATAAGAACTGGCCTTCATTCCGAGACATGTTCTCTGCGTTGTATGGCAATAACCCCCGTTTGACCCCAGTACAGAAATTGTACTATTTATTGCAGAAAACTGCAAAAGATGCTCATGATGTCATACAAACTGTTCCATTGACTAACGATGGCTATGCAGTGGCATGGAAAAAGTTAGTTGACACATATGAGAACAAAGACGCCCTCATAAATGAACAGCTTCGTACTCTTTTGAGTATTAAACCCCTTACCCAAGAAACAGGCCCGAATATTAAAAATCTGCAACGGACGCTTAATGATTGTATTACGAATCTTTCATTATTAGAAGTTACCCCGGAAATATTTTATCACGTCATGTTAGTGTATATTTGTGCTACAAAGCTACCCGAAAATACTTTAAGTCTCTGGGAACAGTCCAAGAAACTTTGTCCAAAATCTCCAAAGTGGGAAGATATGGACGCTTTTTTGACAGCTCATTTCAAAACTCTTGAGTCTATTTCTGATATAAGACAGTCCAACCCAGTTCAAAACAAACCCCAGAATACTGTGTCGAAAAAGAACTCGAGTTTTAACCCCCCAAAGAAATCATTTAATGACTCTAGAAGAGTTCAAAGTTTTGCGACAAACACTACCCCGAGTCCCACAGTTTGTCGTTGTTTCCTTTGTCAAGGACCACACCCCCTAAGACTTTGTCCTAACTTCTTGAGTCAGAGTGTAGATGATAGGCTGTCAACTGTCAAGAGACTTAGGTGTTGTTCAAATTGTTTGGCGACTTCTCACGATTTTAAGAATTGTAGAAGTACTCATGTTTGTTCGTTGTGTAGACAGAAGCATCACTCTTTGCTTCATAGAGATCCTAGGTCGCAAGGTCAAGGTTCGCAAATTTCACCCCAGCTCCCTATAGCTTCTGGTACAAATGTACCAATTCAACCCCCGCATATTCAAACCTTATCTAACCAAACCCAGCACAATATAAACCCAGTTCCAGCAAGCAATCAAAATCAACACCCTCCTAATTTTCCCCCATCAACTTCTGCAGCGACTCAAAACGTTCATACGTATGCTGCACATCTGAGCCCTAACCCCCATTCCACAGTCCTTTTGGGCTCGGCTATTTGTATAGTCCATTTTGACCATCTCAGATGTACAGCAAGAGCGCTAGTTGACCCTGGTTCGCAAGGTACCTTTATCTCTAGGAGATTACAAAGGAAGCTTGCAATACCAACATTTTCGGTGCCATCGATAAATGTTACTGGTATGATGGATTGCTTGGCTGGAAATTCCTCGACTATGTGCGTTCTTACTATTGGTTCTCCAATAGACCCGAGTTTCAAATTGAAAATTTGTGCATATGTAGTCGAGAAGATTACCGGTCGGTTGCCCTCTTGTTCTCTTACAGATATTGTAAGCTCTAGTTTTCCCGATATTACCATGACCGACGTCATGTGTACCCGTATGGATATTCTATTAGGAGGAAATGTTTATCCAAAAATTTTAACTTCGGATGTTAAAAAGCATCCGAATGGCAACCTGATCGCCCAGAGAACAGTTTTTGGTTGGATAGTAACTGGTGAAGTTTTTCAATCTGAACCCCCTTATACTATTGCATCGTTTTGCAATCAAGTGGAGCTGAACGCTCAACTCGCTCGGTTTTGGGAACTTGAAGAAGTTCCACAAGCGACACGGTTGTCGGAAAATGAGGAATATTGTGAAGAACTTTACCGGACTACTACCTATAGGAACCCCGATGGTCGCTATGTAGTTTCACTCCCTTTTCGTCGGGAATTTCTTAATGAAGTGACATTAGGAGATTCTCGACATAGTGCTCTGTCCCAGTTTAGGCGAAATGAAACTCGACTTTTGAAAAACCCCGATCTAAAATCACAGTATGATACTGTAATTAGAGAGTATTTCGAAATGGGACATATCAGAGCAGTTAACCCCCCGAGTTCAGATGCGACTAATTATTATTTACCGCATCATGCAGTATTTAAACCCGATAGTGTGACCACTAAACTTCGTGTGGTATTTAATGCCTCGAACCCATCCTCCAATGGCGTAAGCCTTAATAATGTCTTGTACCCCGGTCCTGTTTTACAGGCAGACCTAACGGTCTTAATCCTACAATGGCGACTCTTTCGTTACGTTTTTAACGCTGACATTGAGAAAATGTATCGCCAAATTTTAATTCATCCCGAACAGACACAATTTCAACGGGTCTTGTACCGCTGTAGTCCCGAAGCTGATATAAAGGACTATGAGCTAAATACTGTCACATTCGGAGTGAATTGTGCGCCGTATTTAGCGATTCGAACTCTTTTACAATTGGCCAACGATTGTAAACCCCTAAGTCCGTTAGCATCTGAAATTTTGAAAACCCAAATGTATGTCGACGACGTACTTGCTGGCTCTCATGAGCTAGAAGACGCTTTTAGGAGACGTATTGAACTTACCCATGTTCTTGAATCGGCTGGTTTCGTTTTGAGAAAATGGACTGCCAATCACATACGTCTCTTAGAAGATTTACCCCGTGAGAATCTGCTTGATGCAGACTTCTTAAAATTTTCAGATGCTAGTACAACAAAAACCCTAGGCTTGCGATGGAATGCAGAAACTGACAGTTTCTACTTCCGACTCATATCGCAGCCACGCCGGGATATTGTGACTAAACGTGCTGTCTTGTCAGAAATAGCTAAGCTATTTGACCCCGTCCGGTTGGCTATCCCCAAAAATCATTGTTGCTAAAATTATAATGCAACAAATATGGAAAGATAAGACAGATTGGGATGAATGTTTAAAACCCTTAACCCTTGTGCAATGGCACTCATTTTTAAATGATTACCCCAATATTGAGAAAATTAACATTCCAAGATGGGTTAATTTTCACCCGAGTTATGATATTGAACTTCATGCATTTTCTGATGCGTCAGAAAAGGCTTATGGCGCTGCTCTTTACGTTCGAAGTATTTCTTCGAATGAAATCTCTTCACATTTACTCTCTGCAAAGACGAAGGTAGCTCCTGTTAAGTCTGAAACATTACCCCGTTTAGAACTTTGTGGAGCGGCTTTGATGGCGAATATGGTAGAATCCTTGTGTAGTCAATTAAATCTAGACAAGAGAAAGATTTATCTGTGGACTGATTCTACTATAGTTTTATCTTGGCTCAAAAAACCCCCGTGCCATTGGCCAACCTTTGTCAAAAACAGAGTTGCCTTAATCGTAAAGAAAGTTGGTAACGAGAATTGGTTTCATGTGGATTCCAAAGATAACCCTGCAGATCTCGCAAGTCGTGGAAGTCTTGCTCGAGATTTAGTTGATAACCCCCTATGGTGGCATGGTCCCTCGTGGTTAAGACAGCCGCGAGAGTACTGGCCACAAAATATCGTTACCGAACATCAGCATTTAGAAGTTCAATCTTTTTCTGTTCAGACAGAACCAACATTTGACATACTGGAACGTTTCTCAGATTTACCCCGTGCAATGCGAATTATTTCGTATTGGTTCAGGTGTTTACAATATTTAAAAACCAGAAAATGCTTGTACAACACCTTAGATTTAACCCAGTCAGAAATGAAATTTACTCGAGATCGATTGGTTCTAGTATGTCAAAAGAATTATATACCTGAATATTCTCTACTCTCGAAAGGTAAACCCATTTCGTCTAAGAGTAATTTACTCACTTTGAACCCGTTTATTGATTCAAATGGTTTTGTCCGAATCAATGGTCGATTAACTCGATCCCCTGGCTTAACGTACGATGAGCGTTACCCTAAAATTCTGCCTTATGCAGCCCGATTTACCCGTTTGTTTGTTGAACATGTTCACAAATGTTCTGCCCATGGTGGCCATTCATTAATGCTCAGATTAGTAAGAAATGAGTTTTGGGTCCCCAAGTTAAAAAATCTAATTCGTACAGTCATTTTCAATTGCAAGGAATGTACTATATATCGAAAGAAAACCGGTCAGCAGATTATGGCTGCTTTACCCCCTGAACGTGCTTCTCTTACGAGACCGTTTACCCATACCGGTTTAGATTTCGCAGGTCCGTTCGACATAAAATCCTACATTGGTAGAGGTTGCCGAATAACGAAAGGTTATGTCCTCGTTTTTGTTTGTTTCGCCACAAAAGCGATTCATTTAGAGGCAACCGGTGATATGTCGACCGAAACATTTCTTGGTGCTTTTGCTCGTTTTTTCTCCCGTCGAGGTTGTCCTGCCCACATATACTCAGACAACGGAACTGCATTTGTCGGTGCTGCTAATTTACTCGAAGTAGACCGAAAGCAGTTTTTACCCCAATTAAGAGAAAAAGTACTTGTACGAAATAGTTTTCAGCCAATTGAATGGCATTTTATACCCCCTGGTGCTCCTCATATGGGCGGCTTATGGGAAGCCGGCGTAAAGAGTGTAAAAACTCATTTTCGCAAAATTGCTGGAATGCAGAAATTTACCTTTGAGGAGTTTTCGACAATGTTAACCCGAATAGAAGCTTGCCTAAACTCAAGACCCTTAACTGCAATGAGCGATGATCCTTTCGATTTAGTCCCTTTAACCCCAGGTCATTTTCTGATAGGAGCACCTCTTTTGGCACCCCCTGAACCCGATCATTCCGATCTTTCATTGAATATTGCTAATAGATGGCAAAAACTCAAAGTGCTCCATCATCAGTTTGCTCAAAGATGGAAAGAGGAATACCTCAAAGAACTCCATCGGCGAATTAAATGGAAATATCCGCAAAGGGACTACAAAGTCGGAGATTTAGTTGTGATCCGTCAGGATAATTTACCCCCGAATGAATGGCGTTTAGGTAGGATAGAGAAGACCCATGTAGGCCATGACAGCAAGGTCCGCACAGCGGACGTGAGAACAGCTTCGGGCATTTTTACCCGCCCAATAGTGAAGCTTGTTCTCTTGCCAAAGTCAGAAACTGACTAATTTGTATTTTTTTTCTTCTCTCTATTTACTTTACCCATAGCAAGATGTCGAATGTGAATCGCCGCCTGGAAATCCACCGCAAACCCGTTGAAGCCCCCGGTTCGTCTAAGGACATAAAAACAACCCGTGATGAGATCCTTCGGGACTGCCGTATATGCAAAAAGGAGCATGCCTTGAGGAAGTGCCCGAAATTTAGGAAGATGTCGGTGGGGGAGCGGTGGGAAACGGTGAAAAAGTACCGATATTGTTTCAACTGCCTGGCTCATTCCCACATGAAGGATAAATGCACCAGCAGAGAGCGGTGCATCGAGTGCATGTCAGAGCACCATACCCTCCTTCACCGGCATCAAAGGTCGAAAAAAGGGGCCAAACCCGAGGCCCATCAACAACCAACCCAAGGCAGCGGTAGTCCCAAGGATCGGAAGTCCTCAAAAAAAAGGAGGAACAAAAGCCGTGGTACGAAAAACCAGGTCGGCACACCCCAACAACAACATCATTGCTGCGCACAGCATCCACAACAGCAACAGTACCAACAACAACCCCTACAATATCAACAACAACCCCAACAATATCAACAACAACCCCAACAATATCAGCAGCAACACCAACAAACCCCGGCAACCATTGTTATCAATGTAATGTCAGGGCGCATTGTTTAATATACCCCTTTTTATTATTTTTGTTATAATGAATTTAAAAAATGAATTGTTGTTTTGAAAAAAAAAAAAAAAAAAAGTTTACCATTTTTTTGTTTATATACATATATTTTATTTAACTCTGTTTTCAGCTTATCTTACCCCGCAGTATCCTAAGCCTTCCTTGTTGCAGTATTGCAAGGGGGGCGGGATGTTTATGCGCACAGTGTATATGGCCAGTTACTGTTCACTGGCCATTCTATGTTTTTTAATTCTTTGGCGCTTTTTACCCTTTTTCTCTCTTACAAAAAGTTGTAATACTCACTTACTTTTGTAACCCCGAAGAGTACGGTACGTACAAAACCCCAATTTATAACCCGAGAAAAACCAATAATAAAACCCCATTTTTATATTTATTTAAAGAAAAACTAATTTTGTTTTTATTTTTCTTACCCCATATTTTCGAGGAAATATTTCAAGGAAACAATGTGGCATGCGATTTATTTTTCATTATGCCCCATGACTGCAAGTCTTTTGTAATCTTGATTTTGTGTGTTGTTTTTATTTCTGTAGTTTTTTTTTTTTTTGTTCTTTTAACCAGTGTCACTTAATTCAAGAGTATTTTGCTGTAGCAGTTTGTTGTTTATAATGTTTTTTTATATATATATATTTTTAACAGATCCTTTTTTATTTAAAAGATAAAAAAATACAAACAAAAATATTTATGTGGTTGCCACTGAAAAGACTGAGAAGAGCGGCTATAATGCCTGAATGTAAACTCGTTGTTATTGTGGTAACAAATAAGTTTTAATCTAACCGAACAAAATTGTATTTTTTTAAACCGTGTTTTTTTATATTATTTCAATTTTTGTTTTAGTATTTTTTGTAAATTTTTTAACCAACAAACATGTCTTTTAGTTTAAAGCACAAGAGTCAGAAGGAAAAAAAAAGTTTAAAAAATGATACTTAAAGCAATTTTTTTTATTTTTTTATATATTTCAACTTGTGACTACTTTTGGCAAGCTTTTTAGTTAAGTGTTAGTGGCATACAAAACCACACAAAAAATATTAAAAAATATAAAAAATTTGAGAGAAAAAATACGAGCCAATATGGATAAGATTTGTTGTAAGCTACCAGCAGTTTATCAGGGAGTCAATGGTTCCCTTTCAGATACGCCTAGCACCTAAACAAAATAATCACCCCTATTCTGCATTTCAATTAGAATCGAAATTTTCTCCATTTAGCAACTCTGGTATTCTGCATTTCGATTCGACTCTCCGCCGCATAAACAACAACTTACAAAACCGTAATTTCGATCGTAATACAGAATACACACAATCGTGAAGCATTGAAACGATATAGAATTGCTTCTTCGTTTTCTTACGATACCTTTGTTCGATCGTAGTGTAACTAAATGCGTAAACATAGTTGAAATGCAGAATAGGGGTGAATGCATAATTTGAAAATTTTTGGATCAGATGACATGCATATATGTACTACTCATAATATACTGAGGATCACTTATCACTTATACACTGGTGCCCATTAGAAGGAATCTATTGCTGACACAAGTCACTATTGATTTGAAGAGCAGCCATTTGATTTCTAATTCAGATTCACCATCTAAAACTACAGGGCTTTTGTGAAGCACTGTAAATAAAATGAAGCAACTAAAGAAAAACAACAATAAAATTTAAAGTCTTTTAAAACTTATTACCAACTCCTTGTGAAACAACAATAACGCAAGTGAAAGATGAGTAGAAGAAAAGTACCGACAGTAAGTTCATATAAACCTACAGACACACATACATACATTCACAGTAACACAAGAAAAATTGCATTTTCCTTAAAAGTAACTAGAGATGCTAAGAAAATTATCTTGCCACATTCCATTTTCACATTAAAACATTTAGAAGTGAATGTAGAAAAAAAAAAAAAAACAAGCTGCTTAAAAACAATGAAAACCAACAAAAATATACATACATATATACCAACTACTGAGTTAGAGTAGTAGTATTGCCAATTTTCTTTTGAGGCCAAAAACACTCAAACACACATAACATACCGCACAACACCGGAAGTAGGAGTTTAAAGTTTAAAAGCTTTTAACAATTAACAATTGACTTAACGCACAATTGTGTTGTATTTCCACATCATAAATAAAAATGTAACAACAACAACAACAAGCCAAACAGCAGCGAACAATGCCAACAATGATTTTTTACCTCTTGGGACAAGACACAAACAAAATCTTTTTGGAATACATATAGTGATTGTTTTGTTTTTGTTTTTTTTTAATATTTAATGTAAAAGTTAATAAATTAGTATGAAAGGGATGTGTAATTTGGTACTTTGTTTGCTTAAGTAGCTTTAAATGTATTTGTTAAAATTTACAAAATACAAGGTAATTTTTCCTGGAATAAATAAACATTTATCATGTACATTGTTTTTCAAGCTTATAACTGGGTAGCGTATGATTAATATTTAATTGTTGAAGGAAATAATAAATAATTATACGCCTGCAAAAGTTTGCATGTACCTAAAAACAACAAATTGTTTTGTGGAAGATAATAATTATAAAGTTATAAAAATTCTATATAGAATTACAAAGACAAGTAAATAAAACTAACATCAGATAGATGATTAGCTGTAGGGATTACACAGTATAATTGGTCAATATATTTATATCTTAAACCTACTTTCATAATTAATACTTTTTTTCTTAACTATTAAATATTTCCATAAAAATATTTTCTGCTTTCCTATCAAAATAAATACAAAAGCAAAATAAATCAACAATAAAATACATTCATATAACACCCCCTCATAAATAAAAATGAAATGAAAAAAAAAAAAATAAAACTTAAAAAGACATTGTTGTTTTTAAGAAGACTTTCTTTCAACTTGTGATTGTGATTTATGGAATGCATAAAACTTTACAACACAAACAATGATCAAAAAGATAAGAAAAATGATGACGAAAACAACAAGAACAGAGCCAAAACGAACGTAACAGGAATAACTTTCACATGAGCATGTGAGATAACAACTGTACATAGCCACCATAAGAATGGGGAAAAAAAAATAATGATAAAGATGATGCCGTGCATCCATCACATCATATTGCATCATATTAACAAAAAAAAAAAAAAAAAAAAAAACTATTCATATAATCTAAAACTATAGATATGAAAGTATACAAATCCTCACACAAATATACACAACTGCAGCTATTTCCTTTACTAGTTGTTCTTTTTTTTATTCTCTTTCACTCTCTTTTTGCATTAGTTATATTCCCTTTGGCTTAAATGTAAAATTTGTATATTTGAAATTTGCATACTTACTGTTGTGATACATACATACGTCTGAATGAATGAAAATATGAATTTAACATATATTTTTTTTTTTTGTTTTCTTGTTAACAAAAATACACAAAAGAAAACATAGAGAGAAAACTAAAAGTAAATATTATAAAGAACAAAATAAAAGCGTTGAAATAGAAAAATGCAATGCAGCAGATTGTGATGCATCATTTAAAGTTGCAAGAATATGATGATTCTTCCTTCATCTGTTTCTGTTTGTGTGTCAAATGTAAAGGAACGTTTCATAAAGTTCAGTTAGTGAATTACTAGAGTATGAAAATGTTCTTTAATGTAAGAGAAAAATAGCAATGTTTTAAATTCTAATAAGTTTAATTTATATAATTGAAATTTAAAGAAATTTTATTGAAAATTTCTTTCCATTTTTACAAAATTTTAGGCCATAGTCTGGTAAAAAGTTCAATCCATAGACCAGATGCCAGACAAAAACTAGTTCATAGTATGGTCATTTCAGGAACTAGTCCATTGATTAGTTCAAGCACAAGTTCATGGTCTACTCAGTAATCCGAAGAAACCTAGGCCACTACTGGGCCTATTGTGCGCTCCTTTTTATGGAAAATATTTGTTGGTAAAAACAAAAATCTTACATTACATTCACTGAATGTAATTCCTAAGAATTTTCCAATCAGTGTTCGTAAGGAATGTTATATCTGGAATAATATCACTGCCAAGATATTTGTACCTAATTTCGGTGAAAGCCTGACAATGGCAAAGAAAGAGCTCCAGAGTTTCACTATCTTCTCTACATGCTCTACATTCGTCTGATTCCATACTTAAAATTTTGTATCGCTATGTGTCCACTCAGAATACGTACCATTATACTAAGCTCAAACTTGCTCATCTTAAGGAGGCTTCTCGTCCTACTCTCATTAGGATCACCCAGAGGATTTTTGTAGTTCTCCCCACTGTTTCATTATTCCAAGGGAACTTATTGGTTTCTCTCACCCCTATTTTTATACCCTACACAAGTTTAGTGGGGAGGGTATATTGGGTTTGTGCTAATGTTTGTAAAGCACAATAATATTGGTCCTATACCCACCTTAAAGTATTCAGCTTAGAATCATTTTCTGAGTCGATTTAGCTATGTCCGTCCATCTGTCTGTCCGTCCATGTAAACCCTGTAATCAAACTACAGGTTGCAATTTGGTACATGATCTTCTATTGTCCCAGGGTCAAAGCCTATTAAAAATGGTTAAGATTGGTCCATTATTTCACCTAGCCCCCATACAACTGAAACCCTGAATAGGGCTTGTAAACATTTGAATCAAACTACAGATGGCAATTTTGAAATAATTATGGTACCGGAGACGAAGCCTATTAAAAATGGTTAACATCGGTCCATTATTTCACCTAGCTCCCATACAACTGAACCCGACGAATAAGGCTTTTAAGTTCATAATTATGATTAATATACTCGTATCTCGACAAAAATCTGCAAAACCAAGTTCTATACTAGCCTTGATGATTCTCATGAATTGTATAATTATAAGGTCTCATTTGACCATAGCCCCTATACAAAACCCCCTTCAAAATTTGACTTAAATGTCCACAATTTTATTCAACAATAAATGGGTTAAGTATATCTGAGGCTTAAATGCTTTATTATGAAAACTAAATCACATTTTATGGTCGGCCTCGCCCGACTATAATTTCTTTCA